TCTAATTCTCTGACAGCAATTTTGTAATGCTTAATTTTTTAGATGGTCTTATGTAACACCAACTGTAGGGCCTTTATTTCCTCTCTGTTTTGGTGTGGAGCCGATATCTGACATCCATCCATCCATGCATCCATCCATTCTTCAAACCTTGTCCTATGTAGGATGCTGGAGCTTACCCATCATCTCGGGCCGAAGGCAGGGAAACACCCTGGACAGATGGCCAGTCTATCACAGGGCTAACACAGACATACACACTTTCACACTCACGCTACAGGCAACTTTAGTGTCTCATATCACTTGACCTGCATGCCTTTGAATTATGGGGAAACCGTACTGAGGTGGCAGTGCTACCCACTGAGCTGCCAGATATCTGACTTGTTCCTGCAAAAATGTATGTGTCCCTTACATTTAGGTTTAGTTTATATCCAGCTAGTCACATTAATGTACTTGTTATCCAGTGAAGCTGCATATTTAAAGCTGTGACGTGAGAAAGCACATTGATATGTTCATGTAGCCGATAGAAATTCTGCCGTGCCACAGAGCACCATTTACATAGCTTTCCATTAAATTACATTACATTTGTCCCAAATTGTTGTTAATGTACATAATGACTTCACCCTTGGCTGAAAGATTGTGTATTGTGCATTTTTCAGTGAAACGTTTGTCTTTCTGTGGCTCTAATAAAGTCTGTATGCTTCATTTAGATAGCTATAATATAGTTTGTGCTGTCTCTTTCCATTTTGCGGTTTTATTTTAAACACCGAACTTCAAACTCAACTATGCCACTTTGTTCATTCTTGAAGTAAACCTTTGCCAGTTTGGTGATCAAATAAACTGTTTTGGACCACTGCTTGAATTGAACACGATGCGTCCGGTGTGTGTGTTACCTGCGAGTTGTCCTAGACTAGAGTTGTCTTGCGTTTTTTTGCCTGGTGTGTGACTAATAGGGCTGTGCGATATTGAAGAAAAATGCAATATGCGATAACTCATTAAATAATGCGATATTCGATATGCGATACGATAATGCTTAAAGTGCCACATGCTCAGATTAAACAGTTTTACTCAGCTGTTGCTGAGTCAGTTCTGTGAACTTCTATAACTATCTTGTGTCATATATATATGGTTATTTGTATGTATGTATGTACCAAGAGCTCCTGTAAAACCACAACAAATTCCTTGTGTTTGCGCACACTTAAGTGGTGAATAAAGCTCATTCTGATTCTAATAAGAAAGCACCCCTACAACAACTTCTGAAAGTGAACGGTATGTGTTTTACTCATAAAAATGTAATTTTAACATGAGTTTAGGAACTGAATAATAAAAAAGAAAAACAAAACACCGCTTAGTATTTACTCTTTGAATTCAATATGTACTGATTCTTGTCTTATTATTCTAATTCCCTGATTAAATGTAAGAATTTGACTCAAAAGATAATGGACACTTTTAGAAAAAATGGCTTTATAAAGGTAAAAATGCCCATAAAATGCAAAAATCAGTTTAAACGTATTGGAAAAGATTAATTTCTATCAGTATGAACTGACCACCACACAGAATATGAAGAATATTAAAAACATTAGGAGTCAGCTGTCTTCGGCAGTCCTTAAGGTACCAGCACAATAACACACTCAGCAAAATATCGTCTAATTATCGTTATCGATAAAATCCCATAAAATATCGAGATATAATTTTTTGTCAATATCGCACACCCCTATATTGCACAGCCCTAGTGACTAACATATTTTGTTTGATTAGATAATCATCAAGTGTTCTAAAATAGAAGCAAATAAAGTGTGAGAGTATACATACAATATCCATATGTAATATAATTTCAATGCTATGGCCTTTGTGTAGATATTTAAAGATGGCCATCTTTAAGAATTACAAGCAATCTGTGTCCATTTGTAACATTAACTAAGATTAATAAACGCTGTAAAATTATTGAGTATGTTAATTCAACATTTGCTAATTCAGTTTTAAATTTTAAAGTTGCATCTGTTAACATCAGTCAATGAACTATGAACTAACTTTAATCAATATATATTTACAAAGTATGGTTCAGTACTTTTTTTTTTTTTTTTTTGGTTAAATAATAAAGCACTATTTTAGTTTTGGTTCAGTATCCATTTTAAAACTATCGGTTGATTAATCTGTATCAGCCAGTGTGGTCCAACCTATCGGTCGACCTCTGATATTTTGCCATATCACCCAGCCCTACTTTTTTTTTTTTTTAATGTTTAACTAGTCAACTTACAGTACTTAAAGTAACTCTTTATAAAACTATCTGGTTAAAGAAAGTTCACCACACATGAAGTGGTCAACATGGTATACATGTAAAACAAAGGAACTTGTTAAATATCTTTGCATAAACAATGCATGAAATATGAAGGCAAACATTATAAAAATCTGTCATAAACATATCCTATGTTCAGAATAATATAAAAAAAGGAAAAATGCTAAATATTTCTTAGCCAAAATGTAGACATTCGGTTTTAGAGGTCAACTCAAAAATTCAAAATATCTAACAGTATAACATCAGTATTAGGATATTATTAAAAGTAAATGCTTTGTAAAAACAAAGAAAATAATAGCACCTTTCCGCCTGTCATCATCATTCAAACATGAAATGCTTCAAATGCTGTGCATTATCCAGTCACTTTGACAAAGACTGAAACAAGTCCAAGCAGTGCAAGGAGTGTAACACCAAACAGCACAGGTGAGAGTTCGTCATGAGAAGCTTCTATTTAGATGATGGACTCACTTCATTCACCACCAGTGATGAGGTCATGCCGTTCTTGAAACAGGCAGAAGAAACAGCCTCCAACAGCCATACAGTAGGTAGAAGCATCTGCCTCTGAAGACTTGGCTAAAGGTGTGGGAAAGATTTGCAGTTACCATCAGATCACTTACAAAATCAGATTGAATTGGAAATCCAATCATTTGGAGACCATGTGTCATTAGCTTAATGTTATCTCATCAATCTCATTTACATTGTATATGCACTGTATATGCCAACAGACACTGACAAACGGAAACAGACATGTTCATATGGTTCGTCAGATCAGAGTGTTAATACATTTTGTTTAATTGTACTGGGGCATTTCTATGCCCCCTTATCTTGAATTTTTTAAAATTTTTTTATGGGGGGTTAAATTTGTTTATGTTGGTGGCATTTTCACCTTAAGCCCCTTTAATTTCATACCCTGGTCTCTACTAATATCAAACCCGTAAGTTTAATTTAACTTAAAAAAAAAAAAAGTGACGTTACCAGCTCACTACTGAGAAATGTTGTTTCAGTCGTTAAACAATTTTATTGATAAGTCACAGGTTAGCACTGATAAGTTTCTGTGTGCTCGAGTGCTCCTCTGTGTGTGCTTGAGTGTCTGTATGTGCAGAGACAAAAGAGCAGAACAGATAGAACAGGCTTTACATAATACAATTTAGTAAGGAAAATATTGAAATTGTCATTTTAATCCTATTTTTTGTCTTATTTGTTGGCTTGGTCAGTGTCTTGGAATGGCCTTTTAAATAACTGAAATTATTTAGCTAAGTGAAATTGAAGTGTAATGCTGTCGAGAGACCTGGAACTACTTCATAACTGTATGTTTACTGGATAATAATTGCAAACCTTGAAACATTTATCAACCAATCAAAATCAAACGTTCAGTAGCCCTGTGGTCATTAAACAAAACAGGAAACAAGGACTCTTAAAATATTAATAACTGAGTTTTCTGCCCAGTAGACCCAGGGACAGTGTGAATTTTAATGGTTCAAGCACAGTAAGTGAATAAAGGGGATTTTACGCACAGTGCCCCTGTCCCCTGTGAGTTCTCTTTCATGGCTTACTGCGATTTGAACAGTCGAATACTCACAAAATTATATGAAAATGCTCATCTTGTGAGTATTTGTGTAAACACAACTGGGTATATCTTAAGCAAACATAAACATTTGGGGAAAAAATTGTATTTGTTTCAATGTATTGTATCCGTGCATTAGTGATAAAAGCCTAATAATCCTGTTGCTGTCTGTGTCACATGTTAATAATGTTAATCAAACAATAGAGAAAATCACTCACTGCTGAATATGTGTTGTGACTTTAATAAGGATTAATGTATATTAATTCATACAGTGGGGACTATATGGTTTTATTTAGCATTTGATACAATTATGTTGGTATAGACCAACCTGATAAACATAAAGCACTGATTATTTTAATTGTATCTTTGATGTATTGTATTTATTCATCCTATTGCTTGTAATTAGTTATTAAGACTATTAAGTTTACTTGTCTTCAGTAAGTTTGAGAACTAACTGTTACTTTGTACTTACATTAGTTAGGCTGTTTGTATTTGCTGTGATATACAAATTACTATTGAGTAGAGTTGTGAACTTTCACAATTTGGTACAGTATAATATCAACCTTTTATCCAGCAAAAAATAATTATATTGTAATATGATTATCATTAAATAAAATTACTCATATCGTGATTTTAGTCATATTGCCAACATGTGGAACAAACATGAATACAAACAATACATTTCTGAAAACCTGGTGTTTACAGTATGTATGTATGTATGTATAAATACATAAATATATTTTTTTCCATCCATGTATGGCCATGGTATGTCCGTGATGTCTTTCTCTGGACAGTTGATAAAATAGAAATATGTAATCTGTTATAATGCAATAATTTCTCTTTTTAAAATATGATGCTGGTGTTGATTTCACACTGAGTCAGTCTTTTGTATTAGTGTAGTCAGCTAATTTACACTTGTACATTATTAAATTACTGATTTATTAGCATTGTCTTCCTCTGCACTGCTGCAATAAACAATACACATATACACACAAAGCAGGAAGAGTAACAGAGTTTGTTAGCTTTGTTTAGGAAACTTGGTTTGAACTGTTTGCTCATATTTTTATTTACCAGTGTTTTACAGTTATGCGTTGTTGTTGATTTTTTTGTAAATGTAACATATCACTCTCTTTCTCTCTCTGTCAGTGTGCTGCTTTGTGGTCCATAAACGTTGCCATGAATTTGTCACATTCTCATGCCCTGGAGCTGATAAAGGGCCAGACACAGATGTGAGTATGCAAATACACACACAAACAGTGGTTCTGTTCAACATTTCTCTCTTTCACTTGACATCTTTCTAAAGTATATGTGGACTCGGTAGAATCCTATTACACAGGTAGGCTACTGACCTCAGCTAAAAATTGATGTTTGTGTCATAGCTCACTTGATAAAATAATGTTCATCTTGCAAAATACATGTTAGCACTTACATCAAACACTTAGTTTAATAGAATATTAAAGGTTTAAATATTATATTAAACAACTTGACATATGTGACTTTAATGGTGTTCAGATACTTTCTCCTATCCCCTTTGTGTGGGGGTGTGCAGAGAGAACTATAAGTAAACCATTTTACCAAGCTATTTTGAAAGCAATGTTTATTTTTTACAGTTCTTCACAGTGGCACAGAAATTACTTCAGCTCTCAATCAACATCTATGGTTGTCAGTTATGTCTCTTTTTTCAGTTTGAGTTAACAGTAATGTTTTAACTATTTCAAACTGTAATGGTCTACTAAAATTGTCCCATATGATTTGTTACATTTATGAATTCACTATAAATATATTTTTTTTGTAGTCAAGTTATAATTTAGTGTATTTTTCCACCTGCCACAGCACTACTAAGTTATATTTCATATTTAATTATTTTGCACATAATGTGTCTCAGATTATTACTCTAAGTAAACATTTTCTATAATACATGACCTTAAATATGTGTACTTGTAAGTGGTGTGTGTGAACTCTCTTGACAAGTGGTGTAGTGGTGGAGTAACTAGAGATAATGTCAGAATGTCATTCAAGCTTCTGAGACACTCCTTTTTATAGAGCACAGCATGGACGACTGTCATACTGTAGCTGTGGAATAAATTCTCAGTGAGAACTATTTACAGAATCTGTGCATAGACTGGGTTTCTGTGTAAACATTTTAATCACATGCTCAGTGTTTAAAGTCTGAGCAGATTTTGCGAAGGGCAAAATATGCACACACGCACACAGCCTGCTTCATTTTGATTAGTTGAAACTGCAGGAGTAATAGCATTGCAAATATCCTTGTGTTACTGACTAAATGAATACCCAGCTCCTGAGAGGGGTCAGAGCAACTCACATCTGTCTTGAGTAAAGAGCTTTAATTGGCTGAAGATTTCCTGTTATTATATACATGTGCATACACAGAACAAGCTTGAGGCTTATTCTGACTGGCAAATAATCAAAGCCAAATGCTCTGTTTGCTAGATTAATGCTACTCATTAAAGGGATAGTTTAGCCAAAACTGAAAATTCTGTCATAATTAATAATTATTAATTAACTCACTCCCAAACTTGACATATGTGACTTTAATGGTGTTCAGATACTTTCTCCTATCCCCTTTGTGTGGGGGTGTGCAGAGAGAACTATAAGTAAACCATTTTACCAAGCTATTTTGAAAGCAATGTTTATTTTTTACAGTTCTTCACAGTGGCACAGAAATTACTTCAGCTCTCAATCAACATCTATGGTTGTCAGTTATGTCTCTTTTTTCAGTTTGAGTTAACAGTAATGTTTTAACTATTTCAAACTGTAATGGTCTACTAAAATTGTCCCATATGATTTGTTACATTTATGAATTCACTATAAATATATTTTTTTTGTAGTCAAGTTATAATTTAGTGTATTTTTCCACCTGCCACAGCACTACTAAGTTATATTTCATATTTAATTATTTTGCACATAATGTGTCTCAGATTATTACTCTAAGTAAACATTTTCTATAATACATGACCTTAAATATGTGTACTTGTAAGTGGTGTGTGTGAACTCTCTTGACAAGTGGTGTAGTGGTGGAGTAACTAGAGATAATGTCAGAATGTCATTCAAGCTTCTGAGACACTCCTTTTTATAGAGCACAGCATGGACGACTGTCATACTGTAGCTGTGGAATAAATTCTCAGTGAGAACTATTTACAGAATCTGTGCATAGACTGGGTTTCTGTGTAAACATTTTAATCACATGCTCAGTGTTTAAAGTCTGAGCAGATTTTGCGAAGGGCAAAATATGCACACACGCACACAGCCTGCTTCATTTTGATTAGTTGAAACTGCAGGAGTAATAGCATTGCAAATATCCTTGTGTTACTGACTAAATGAATACCCAGCTCCTGAGAGGGGTCAGAGCAACTCACATCTGTCTTGAGTAAAGAGCTTTAATTGGCTGAAGATTTCCTGTTATTATATACATGTGCATACACAGAACAAGCTTGAGGCTTATTCTGACTGGCAAATAATCAAAGCCAAATGCTCTGTTTGCTAGATTAATGCTACTCATTAAAGGGATAGTTTAGCCAAAACTGAAAATTCTGTCATAATTAATAATTATTAATTAACTCACTCCCATGTTGTTCCAAACCTGTATGAGTTTCTTTCTTCTGTTGAGCACAACAAAAAAAAGATATTTTGAAGAATGTTGGTAACCGAACAGTTGACGGTAGCCATTGACTTCCATATTATGAAGAAAAACACTATGGAATCAATGGCTACAGTCAACTGTTTGTTTACCCACATTCTTCAAAATATCTTCATTTGTGTTTAACAGAAGTAAGAAACTTGTACAGGTTTGGAACAAGTGTAGGGTGAGTAATGACGACAGATTTTTAATTTTTTGGGTGCACTATCCCTTTAATACTACACTGATTGGGATCTCTTTCTGAGACTGCAGGGGTTTGTTATAGTAATTCATATAATTTTCTTAATTTGGTTAATTCCTTTTTTAATTTGCAGCACGTTAAGCTCTCTGTCCCCGTAACATAGACCTAAAGGTGCACTCAGTAAAATACAACACAAAACATTTAAATGATTTTGTGTTTCAGTGGAACTCAAAATTAGGTGAATGAGGAATCACTAAAGTATTTCATACATGACATGCTGTATGTGCACTTTCTTCAACTTCAGCTTTTCAAAAGCCCAAGTAGGTGGACTCACAATAATGGTTTGGAGTGTGTTCTGTTGGAATGGAACCACTGTTAATATTTGGAACAAGGAAAGTATTGAATATAATAAATGGGTTCCTGTCTACTCCGAACATGATGATAGGAGCGAACATTTACATGGCAAGAATCCTACAGATGTTTAATTAAGGAGGGCAGGGCACACTGACTGACATAAAGCTTTTGGTTACATTGTTAATAGCCAAAAATGAAACAATGGTTAATTTTTACAGCCGTACAGAGAACAGATTCTGCATTTCTCAGAAGTATTAAAACACATAGTAAATGCAAACAAAAAACTCAGTAAAACCAGAACGAGTAATTAATATAATTGTCCCTTTTTTTGTCCTTTTGTCCTTTTTTTATTACTTCTTGGCAAACCATTTACTGTACCACTTGTCATTCAACCTGACAAATGTTCTTTTCACACCTGCTGTGGATAGACCATTCACATGCAATTTCTTGCATTTGGTGTGAATAGGCCTTTGTTTTATTTCTAGGAGGATTTTATTTATTTTTTTTACATCGGTGTATCTACCCACTTTTTATAAACATATTTTCTTTGTTTGGTTTAGTTAAATCTGGAGTTGCAATTTTTGCAATTTTCTTGGCCGATTCCAATTTCCGATTTTTTGGAAGTGTGACCTGCCGATACCGGATTCCGATTTGACCTGCTGATACCGATTTTGCTGATCCCGATTTTCTTTCTAAGAACAATAATTCGCAGCATATACAAACAAAAATCTATTTTTTTAATGCAAAAAATTATTTACATAATAAAGGAAATTATTCAACATTATAATTCCCCCAATGTGGACTAAGTAACGCTTGAACAACTCTCAAAACAAAGTGCTCTGTGACTGGAAAGAGGTAGAATTGAGTTGCTGTATATAACAAGACAGATGTCATTTCCCACTGTTTATACATTTTCCCTAACTTTTTTTAAATGTGTCATCTTTCACATCAAATTCTTACTTTGTTTAAATTAATTTAGTTAGAATAATAAGAAACTGTAGAGTTGTTACCATTAAAATGAAATTAGTATTAACAAACTCTATCTTTCCACTGCTGAGGAAACAGAAGCTGCATCTGAAGTGGCATTAGATGCATTTACACAGACAGTTTGATGAAGCTGAGGTGCCATAAATGCATTTACACTGCAAAATTTCAAATGCATAAATAATTTTATAAGATTAATGTTTTACATTTTTTTTAAACAAATAAATGTTGAAAAACTGCAATGATACTTTTAAATGTGACTAAACCACCAGTAGGTGGCGGCAAATATCTGTTTTAATGAGTGAGTCATTTATTCATTCATTCAACCGATTCATTCAAACGGCTAATTCATTCAGAAATGAGGCAAGTGACTGTCCTTATGAATGGACCACTGAATCATTGACTCACTCGATTCGTTCAAAAACGTGGATTCATTCAGTAATGAAAAACCGCTGAGTGTTGCTCGGAGACACAAAACAGTTCTGCTATGGCTTTGATCGGAACTATTTTCGTCAGCGAAATTGAGCAAAAATAGTCAATATTTTGTCTAAAATCGAAGTCACTTAATTTTAACTTCTTGTTTATTGAAATACTATTGTATAAAATCAGTGTCACATTGCAATCATGTTGATATTGATATTTGGGGAAACATCAACCCCGTATAATGTTGCTTACCTAAATCATATTTTGTAAATATCTTTTTTTTTTCTACCACAGTATGCATCTATACATTTCTGTGAGTTACTTTGTGTGTGCTGTCTCTCTCACACACTCACTCAGACTGTGCACTCGGCGCCACTGGCAATAAAAGGATCGGCTTGGAATCGGCCGATCACCGATAGCTCATTCAGTCATTTTTACCTGTTGAAATACCTTTAAATGGCCAATAAAACACATAAAATGCAGTTTTACACTTGCCAAAAAGTGATTACAGACTACTTATTGAGTGAACTGTTCTTTCTGCCTCAAAATGACTTGATTTCATTCATGGTTGTTATATATGATAGATTATAGCTCATTCAGTCCCTTTTACCTGTTGAAATACCTTTAAA